CATCTTCCTAGGATTTCAAGATGGAAAAAAAAAAGGACCAGAAATCATTAGATAATGATGAAGTTGTGATGAGAAAGAGAAAAATGTGAATGTGACAGTAAAGTTATGTTAGTGGAAAAGCCACAAATCCCAAAAGGAAAGTTGCCCAAGTTATCATTATTTATTTATTATTGTGTTTGTCTGTTTTTTTGTTTCATTGTTCGCTTATTTATTTATATTTATTATGTACACAAATTTGCAGCCCCAGAAAAAAGACAGCGTGTGCCCTCTGCTTACAATCGCTTTATCAAGTAAGTAATTTTTTTCTTAATTCTATTTTTACAAAATAATTTTTTTTTCTTTTCAAAAAATTAAATGCATTCATGTACTAATATATGTATGTACTGAGCCCTACCCCATAGATGATTTAGGTGTAAGCATAAATTTGTGTTATGTCAGCTTTATTGCAGCTTCTTTTAATGCCATATGTGTTGACTTCATTTGAAATTTGGTGAACTGAGATTTATGTAGTTATTGTTTATTAGCAAAATACATGAAGTGTGACAATATTATTGGCAATTTAATTAGGATGAATATTTAATTTTGCAGGGACGAGATCCAACGTATAAAAGCTGGAAACCCTGATATCAGTCACAGGGAGGCCTTTAGTGCTGCTGCAAAGAATGTAAGAATATAGTAAATAAATAAATAAAAATGTTAATTGTATCAGTCTTATAAATCCAATAACCTAATCCAAATTTCTCTATATTGTTTTTAGATGAGTATAATTATTGTTAGGTAGGTCTAATAATTAGACAGTTATATATTTTCAATGCATATATATAGATGAAACTTTTAAATTAAAACGTTATCATACAAAATATATATATATATATATATATATATATATAAAAGTGTGATTTTTCGTAGTATAAGTATAATTTTTTGTTAAAAAGTATGACGAGTCTACCCAACTAACGATAAGACCGCTTAATTTCCCTTATATAGTAACGTAAAATTTACAGGATTGATTAGATCATAAAAACTAAGTTTAAATTTTTATATTAGAAAAAAAAAATGTTCATTTTCACCTTAATTTGACAATTTTATTAGAGTTATGAAGTTGTGGTATGGGCTTTTAATTTGCATTTGTTTTGTTGCTCACACAGTGGGCCCACTTCCCACACATTCACTTTGGACTCATGCCTGATCAGCCCGTGAAGAAACCAAATGTCTGTCAACAGGTACCTTATCGAAACCCTAGATTTTTACAACTTATTTATTTATTTTTTTACCTAGTAATGGTGAAATTTTGTAAACAATATACCCGAAGAAATTAATCTAGATTCTAATTTTAGTTTACCTCGTAAAAGGTACCTAAAGATGTTACTATGATTTTCAAGAGAAGACATTAGAAACATAAATTATATATTTATTTATTTTTTTATGTTTTTGTATGGTTTGTAGGAAGGAGATGATCATGTTATGATGAAAGATGGGTTTCTTGCTCCAGCCAATATGGGTCTTTCTCCCTACTAAGCATGTAATTGCAATTGTGTTTTCTTAAATAAATTGTGTTTAAAGTTAATTAATGTGCCTGTCTTTCATCTCAGTTTACTTATTAGGGTCTTAAAAATTTTATAATCATGTTGTAAACTTGGACCTGCTGGAAAGTCTATCTTGGTTAACGATTTCCGGATTTTATTGTATTAGCTTCGTATGATTATGATGGGTGAG